GGACGTGAAGGAGGGAGCAAGTTGCACGTGAGAAAAAAAACGCGCCTGATTTAAATGTCACACCTGAACGCTCACATCCTTTTAATTATGTTTGAAATTATGAACATTGCTCAACATCATGAAAATTAAACCTTATTTTCAATAAGCAATCCTGAAAAATATTTGGGGGTGCTTAACTTTTTTCCAGGTGTATATATAAAACTGACACATCACACATACATTTCTAATGTACTCGTGTATATGTGTTGCTGGTTTTATATTAAAAAAATAATGCATTCGTATCTAATTGCACATAATTATATTAGAAACCTTTTATCATACTATTTTTATTCAACTCCCAGTAAAATATTGCTGTTAAATACGTTTAAAATAATGAACACGGAAAGCTTTAAATGTGCATAATGTATTTTATTATTTTTTTGTCCAATGCAATAACATTAGGAAATAGATGAACAGTAAAAAATAAAAATAAATAGATTAACATGCTTTATTATTAATTATTAAATAAGTACAAAATATTTTAGAAACTGTTCACCACCTAACACGAATCTGAGAAGTACCAGCCCAACAAACAGTGGGTAATAATTTCTAAGTCTGTCGCAGCTGTAAGAGGATCAAACATTTTGCCAATATCTCGAATGATACTTTTCTTAGGCTAAGATTTTAAACTTACCACAAAGGCTTTGTTCACTTTTCGATATCTGTAAATAACATGCAAGTTGCAAATGATAGCGCAGTTTAAGGAAAGTTGATATATCAGATAGGCTATTATATATATAATAGATTAGTAAATTACTTGGTAGGCTTACACTTATATCAATATTAGTATAAACATCATACAGTAGCTTGCAGATTTATTAACATAAGGCAAGGCCTAAACCGATTTGAGATACACAAGTTTGTGAATTAATTAAATTTGGATACTCTAATATATACTTCAATAGATTGTTACTGGTGATTATTTTCGTTTGCTTTTAAAGCTAACTCATTGAAGAGCACAAAATAAAGCATCAAGTTTAGTTGCCACGACTTAAAATTAAGCTATATTTTCAATACATTTTGTGGCTGTCTTAACGCACAACCTACAGGTACTTTTTTCTTTTATAAACAATATTAAGATCTGTTATGGTGCGAACTGGCAATGGATATAGCAAACACAGTGTGGTTGAAATAATAATAATACATACTTGTATCTCACCTGATGATGCCAGGTAAGTCTGTTGAAACATTGTTAAAAAATATATACTAATTTTACTCTGTACAACCGATAAAACCTTTAGCGATATTTCATACTCTTCTCCTTGAAAAACTCCAGGGGAATAACTAATGTAGTGTTAAAAATATAATAAACTAATACGACAAGTATAATTAACAGAATTAATAATGTTTTAACACACACACTTAGTAGTTATAATAACTGAATAACTGTGGGTTTTAACTGTTTGGCGCGATAAGCTGTGCATATAATCCCCTAAAGTGAGTTAGGCTTTTACATTACGGTTTTATGAATCCATTCACTATGACAGAAAATGCTAGCTAATATACTACGATTACTACATTATGTCAAAAAGAATGCTTTTAACAAAACCGAGCGAAAGGCATCGTCAACAATGGATATTGCAGACAGAGCATAGTCGAAATATTATTATTCACTTTTTCTTCTTGTCAGGAAAGCGTAAGGGACCGAATAAAGAATGTAGTGTTAAAAATACAATAAGCGTAATACGTGGTTTTGGCTTAGGACAGGTATAATTGATTATAATACTTCTAACAGAGTTTTGTATGCTGAACGAAACGTTGACCGTGGACTGCTTACTAACTCAATGATTTGAGTGGATAACATGGCAACTCAGATTCGTGTATACGCGATATTTATGGTCATACCAAAAGTGCTACTTGGCAAAAGTATATATACAACTTAGAATTGCTGTTTCAAAACTTTCTTTCACTTCTATTCGCAACATAAGATTGAAAACAATATTAAGCAACAAAATTCTCGGTACTGACAGCTTCAATCATGTCACACTGATAGATCGCCAAAAAATAAATGATTTGATATAGTTTTGTTGTGACCTGGAAATAACTTCTTCAATTAACTTGAAATGACAATATCATGAAAGTAACAGAACTCGGGTTACTTTATTATCAGTATTACGAAATAAACATTTAATTAAATGAAAAAATAAAATTACTATTCTGATGAGGATTAATGATGGTTTGTTACATCTCCAACATAACAAATAATGTGCACGTTTGAATTAAAAACAATGACTACCAGTAAAGTACATCAACATAATGAATGGTTAACTGACAATATAAAAACTACTGCTGAAATGTGGTAACTTTCATGCTTACTCTTTATGAGATGAAAACATCAATGACGTAAAACTTTACACATTACTATTATACTGAGTGGTTAAACAATAGTATAAGAAACTAACATAAACATTGGGCATTGGTAAATATGCTGCCTGCAGCAGGTGGTTTGTACTTTTTCTTGCATACACATAATCTACAGCTTTTTTTTATTATCAAGGATTAATATCTAAACCAAATAATATTATGTGTGTGAAATAAAGAATAAGACAGATAGGTCTTTAATTCAACAATTTAGATAATAAAAAATAAATATCTTAATATATAACCTGAACCAAATTAAAACAAAATTAGTTAAAACGTTTTAAATCCATTAATACTTATTGAACTACTTCTAAAGTTTCTAATTCTTAATAATATACATCTTAAAACCTTCCAGTAAGCCATACAACATAACCAAGCCAAATCTCACAGGTACGGTAGTCGAGAGGGATGAGTCTTACAGTTTCTCTGATATGACTGTTTTATTAATAAATAGTTTACATTTTTTTATAACTTAATAAGAAAATAAAAACTCAACTCATTCTTGAAAATTTTTTTCAAGTACTCGGTACACATCATTGTTAATATTATAAATATAAATAGTCTGGCATTTATTAAATATATTAAACATAGCTTAGATTTCTAAGCATGTAAGCTTAGTTCTAGCTTTGTCCAAGAAAGTGAGATCTGCTTCAGCACCTTAGAGTACACACTTTTCATATAGTTCTTTTACATAATGCAGGGTCATGGGACCTCCCAGACCTGAGGTTGCACAGTATCTCTGCTTTACATGCACCAACACATGGCTTGTTGTAGAAGTCACTCAGTTTGTTGAAGTATCTAAGAATGTAATATTTAAATTATAGTTAACTGCAGTGGCATTTTAAACTATGCTTACATATATTCTGAATGTGAAAAACTGAGTTAAGCACTGAATTAGTATTTGCTTAAATTTTAACATGATACGCTACTCATTTTAAAGTATTTCTAACGACAAAAAGGAATTAAATAGTAAAACCAATTGCCCAACCAACAATCTGTATAACTAATCTCGTTTTTCAACATTTAATAAACATGATGTAGACAAATGGTTTAATCCAAAAACAAATTTAATTAAAATCCTGCAAGCCATCAATAGATAGTCCCAATTCAGCATTAAAGTTACAAAATTATATTAATACTTGAAACAGTAAAATCTAGGGAATTTTTAAGTGATAATACATTCATCATAACACTTGTTTTCTAAACTATCTTACATTTTTCACATTACTTTCAATATTTCTGATACTTGTGTTCTGAAATTGTAAACATACCTATAAAACTTCTGGAAAAGAGCATCATTTACTTCAAAGCGCTGGATCAAGTCATCCCAGTCTGATGGGAAAAGTGCTTTCATTCTGAAGGCTTGTTTTGCAGAATACATCTTCTCCCACATTGGTCTGTCAGTCAAGTTTACTTCAGTTATATTTAGGTAGTATGTTTCATGGTCTAACACAGCCTTAAGAAAACAAGAATATAAACTATAGAAGTTTAAGTATTTGTTATTTTCAACCTGAAAGGTAACTTACTTTACATAACTATTGAACTAAATGGCCAGATCAGAGATCCTGAGCTTCAGCACAGCCATCCCTAATTCTGAACTGTGACTAGAAGTTTAATAAATTAGCAGCACCTGCCAGCTACACCACTACTCTTAACTGAAAAGTGTGATTGACTGTCATGATTAAAACACTCCCTCCTTCCACAGCTGCAAGTGTCAGGCATGTTCAGTAACATATATATTGCAGCTTGAATGTTGGGCCTTCTGATCCATAGGTTGACACAATAAACACTAGGCCAAGTGTTCCTAAACAGGGGGAGCCATAGCAAATACATAAAACACATAATACTGTTAAGGTACTCAATATCTATAAATTCATTGGGTGAGGGGCCTCAGTTAGTATGCAGAATGTTCTGGAGAAGCATTGTGCTGAGAAAGATTGGGAACCCTTACACTAAGCAACACCAGCCCATAAAATTTTATATAACAACAGTGTCCCTCAATACATATATTAACATTACTTTATGTCAATGAGCATTAATGGTTTAATAAACATGAAAGAAAAACAGGATCATTCATAAAAATTACAGATGCTTAAGAGAGAGCAGTAAAAATCATTCCATAAAATATCTTACTTTTCCAGTATGTATAATTTCATAAAATAATTGGTTATGTTACTCATCAATAAAATTCAATTCAAATAATAAAGAAATATTGTTAAAATTTGTTATACAACATTTCAGTTAATATATTGAAATAGTTAATTCAAACACTATCCTGCATAAAAATACTTTTAACCTAGCAAACTCAAATTGGCTAGTAATAATTTTTTTTGTCTGCATTATGTATATTTTTTTGCAACTGAACACACTCATAATATAAGTACACACACACACACACACACGCACCCTTTCATATTTAGCAAGCAGTAGTTTGGTTATTTATATTCAATAACTACCAACATGCAAACCACCAATTGCAAAATTTAATATCAGACATTCAGACTCTGTATCAATATTATAAAGGCGAAGTACTCAACCCTTGAGCTTCTGGGATAGTTTCCATCCACAGTGTATATTCTGTAGGCAGGATTACCACCACCATATGTTGTTACGCTAGGTCCAATGTATGCAATATTTGTGGGTCGATCCAGTGTTTTTTCATCATAAAACACTTCAAATTCATCATTGTGAGTGTGACCAAAAAACTGAGCTACCACAGTGTTTTCAAACCTGAAATACAAATTTTTTTAACTATTTCATAACATAGTAAATTATAGCTGGAAAGAAAATTATTAAAGTATTAAAATTAAAGCTACTACTTCATGATGTAAATTTCCAACTCATCATATATTAATTGATATTCATTTGAGATTGGATCTAAGTCCTCAATTCCCATAAATCAACTGAAATAATTGCCACTGATTATTATTGATCAAAGTTAATGAGTTAATATAGTTGTCTCCATTGATTAATTAACATAAATATTATTCATTCATGATTGAATCTAATTATACATTTCATGAATTAACTGAAATAACCCTCACTGATTAGTTATCAAAGTTACTGAATGAATATAACTGTGCCCAACTTCTCAACAATTAGGATATATAGCAACTGATTTGTTGTAGCTCTCCAATGTTTCACAGATTAAATAATAATCATACTTTACTTTGAATCTGAGTCTGCAATCAAAAGTTATTTAATACATATATTATCATTCTGATATCTCAGAGATTAATTGATATAATCATCAGTAGCTACTAACTGGAAATGAATACTGATTATAAGTCTCTTATCTTCTCATAGATTAACTAGTACACCCATTATTCATTTATCACCAAAATTACTAACTGATTCTAAATTTCAAATTCCTCTCAAGATAGTTGATATACACATAAATGTAAATTACTGAGTCATAGATTAATTATTATAACCATCAATTTTTTAATATAACTATTTAGTATAACTTACCGATTAATGATGCGATAATAGTTGTGACTCCATACTTGAATACAGTTTCCAGACCCAGGTGGAATGTGTCCAATGATGTGAACCTTAAAATAACAAAATAGCTCTAATGTACTAAACCTTAAGATACTGCAACAAATAATTTAAACCTGAAAAAGATATACATAATGTTATGGTTTAGAGGCTCTATCAACAGACATACAAAACTAAATAATGTAAAATATTACAGAAACATATTTGCCATGTTATAGTAACAGAGCCAGGAGTATTGTAATTAATAATCAAAAAATATTCCAAGAACATAAAAATGGTACAATAAAACTTTCATCACAGACAAAGATGAATAGGATTGAACAACATGAACATATATATGGTATTTAATATTGTTGTTCTTTCACTGGCAGGTTATTTTAAATTAATTATCTGACGAAAATAATTCAAAGTATAGTCCATGTCAATGACAACAAATTAGTTTCTTTTTTTATTTAATATTTTTTACAAGCTTGAATACTGTGGAACTTGTAGGCCACATTTACAAGTGACCCTAACTGCACTAACTAATATAAAGAATAAACGTGTTTGTATAATTTCCTGGCTAAAATGAAAACACTGATTGATTTACTTTACCAGCTAAAAGCAACTCTACTATCTTCTTGATGCTTCACTGAACCTCATATTTGTAATCTACACTCAAATTTACTACAAAATCTGGCAAATTCCTTGGATCTTTCCAGATCTACATTATTGAATTCTTCAATCATCATTACAACCTCAAACAAACAAACTACAGCATTAGAGATATAGCTTACAACAATATAAAAATAATAGTAGTAATGCAAGGGTTACAAAATGTATGTGTAGTACGGATAGTACCAGGACGTTTAGTTATAAAAACATAATGTAATGAAGATCGTAATAGAATATTCTTATTACCATTAGTTAAAACAGGTGGAAACAACAAGTAAAATAGAAATAAGTAAAAAATTTCGTCACCTTTTCTCCCTGCAGTTCTGCAGTCTGTAGTTCTTGAATCAACCATTGTAACTCTTCTGCTGGGTCAGTAGAGTTTAATAAAAGCCACCTAAGAAGTAAAGAATAAAAGTCAATATTCATTAAAAAGTTTCAACAACTGAGAGTTATCTGTTGGGTTAGTAATTTGTTACACACTATGTGGGAGACAAAATGAGGATTAACTACATAAACACAGAGTAAAATATTAAACAAGAAGACTCAATATATATATATATATATATATATATATT